ATTTTTTTTTACTAAAAATGATTTTCAGGATGTGTTACAAAGAATTGGACATTTCGTCTCGCGAAATCTCATTATTCAAAGAATACTCCGAGGACGCATTGGCAGCAAAGATTCGGCAAGGCGCTAAAGGATGCATGGTGAGCGAATGCCTCTTGGGCCATTTATAAAAGTATTTTCAAAATTATTTTTATGCCTCGTAAAATGATTTTTTTGCTATGCTTTTTTATGCTCTGTGATTAAAATGGACAAGACAGAAAAAAAAGAAAAATAAGTGAATAAAGTAAATAAAATAAACATATTGAAGGCGTTGTCCAATCTGGAAAAGCGCTATGCATAGCGCGAAAGAGCTTCCCCTTTAGAGGTGCTCCTGAATAAGCTTTTGTGCGCAGCAGTCAAAACGCTCTACGGGACCAGCAGACACGCGGGTGCAGGGCTTATCCTCCCCGACAATGTTTGGACAATTTTTGGTTTGTGTTGCAGGTATATAAATAAAAACCTTTCATTTCAGCTTCTCCGAAGCGCATTTTCTGGTGACGACTCTCCAGTGACGTCGGCTGCCAGCCCGGCATTAGTGGAAAGGCTACGTAGCGGCCTTGGCCATGTTGGACTAGAAGAGCTCGCGTTACTCAGTGCCGTACACATCGCGCAGCCGGACGGAGTTCACGGAAGTGACAATGTTTCCCTTAAACTCACAGAATGTCTCCAGGCCCAAGTTCGTCTGAATAATCCGGAAAAGGAAAACTCGAGTAAATTTACTCGAATGCTTTTTAAGTTACCGCTTCTTGATGCATCATGACTTTTACCAATGTGTTGAACTATTGGGTTGTTCCATATGAGGTTCCTTACCGTTTTCGTTTACCTTTTTTTTCAAAAATCGACAGCTTTTTTCTGACCAAAAAAGCCACGAAGCATCAAAGCTCAAAAAATTAAAAGCTCATATTGGTATTTCGAAGCTATCTCTACGTGTGCCTTCAAGTCTGAAATGACGACGGGTCCCAGTGCTGGAACGAAGCATATAGCACTTTAATATGGAAAAACTTATGGAACAACTTGATGATCCTGTTGTGCTATACTATCTATTATCATTAACAGAATGATATTTAATAATACATAGTAATCACGGGTATTATACGAAGCCATTCGTTGTTGTTAATACAACATTAGACTACCGTAATCACCTCATTTCCACGAGTATTCACGACGTTGTGCTTAAAACCAGGTGTGATCATATGGCAGATGATTTCGGTTTTGTTTATAAATCGCTCAAAATAATGCATTTGTTTTCGTCTCCATCATGGATTGTACAGAATTTTATATCGAATAAAAATTAATGATGTATTCAGTCGTATTTTCATCTATTCTGGTTTTTCCAACCACCTCAAAAAGTTCACAATGAGTCTCGAAAGTAAGTCAGCCGGGTGGCAAAACGACTGCCATTGCAGAACTCTGTCAGGAGCTATGTGATCATAACAAACTCGTGTAGTTCAGTAATCGACCATTTTTCCCTTTTCGTCTTAACCATGTGAATTCACAGACTCTTAGAAAGGTGATGGCACTATCTAGCATTTATTGCCCTCCTCAGGAAACGAGCCGGATTTTAATCAAAATTTATCTATAACTGAGAAATCTGGCTAGAAAGTCGGCCCTGGGGCTTTTCAGCTCGTGGAACACGAATACCACATCAGCTCAAAAATGGCTGGCGCTCATGCCGCAGGCGACGACGCCATTACATCAGTCGGCACCGGGTCAAGCGCAGGCCT